TGCAGTTGCTAATGAAGATTATTTGTCTATTCCCATGTACTCCTTTGGTAGCTGCAGCGCCCAGCAAAACTTCCCAGACCCTGTAGGTTGGACAGTAACTGGACCTTTTGATTTCATCAATGATTTGCTGTCAGCAGCCAGCTGTCTACCTTGCCCATGCCTACTTGGTCTCTTCAACCTGGAGAAGAGGAGACTGATGGGAGACCTCATTGTAGTCTACAACTTCCTCACAAGAGGAAGAGGAGGGGCAAGCACTGATCTCTTCTCTGTGGTGACCAGTGACACGACCCGAGGGAATGGCCTGAAGTTGTGTCAGAGGAGGTTTAGGTTGGATATTAGAAAAAGGTCCTTCACCCAGAGAGTGGGTGGGCACCAGAAAAGGCTCCCCAGAAAAGTGGTCACAGCACCAAGCCTGACAGAGTTCAAGGGTTTCATGCTATGCTTTTATAATGCTTTGTTCTCAGTTAGGAAGATGATGTGACACAAAGAAATAGTCATAAGGTCGGGCAATTTAGGGCTTTTTTAATTTTGACAGAAAAATAATTTTCTGTGAAAGCAGGTACATTTCTCTAAAAATTATTTCATTTTTACTGAGAAGTATTTATTTATTTATTTTATTTAAGCAATATTCACTTTAATAAATTAAATGCCAGTCTCTGAGACTTCTATCTCCCCTTAGTGGATTTATCTTTCATCATTTTGAGAAGCAATGCAAACAGAGGGGGTTTGGTTTTCCCATGTGAGCATCACGTAATTGTAAAGAGGTTTCTTTTCGTGTTTGGCCTTTCTGGACAGGAATTTGTATTATCAGCTATCCTACATGAACAATGATATCACCAAATTCTGAGGAAGTTCTGGTTAAACTCATCCTGTCTCAAGAGATAAGAAAAATTACAATGATACCTCTCAGCCAACATACACAAGTACAGAAGGCAGTGTACTCTTTTCTGATAGAGAGTGTGAAAAAAGAACTGAAATATGGGCAGGCAGATGCAAAGAAGATGAAAAAATTAAGATTCATTTTAAAAATCTTTAAAGAAGAGACACAAACCATAGCCATGAATATAAGTTTCATACTCCTGTATTATATGCATAGAGTGATTTTGAATTATCAGAGTCAAGAATTGGCCTTTTCCCCAGACTGCTTCATTAAAACCCAATGCACTGAGTTTCTATCCTTTTAGAGAATTATGATCTGCAAATTCAGATACAAAATTTAACCCATTTCCTAACTTGATATCCTTGGGTTTTATATGGCTACCTCTAAAAGATGTAATCTCCAGTATATCCTGATGTCTTGGTGAAATAAACAGACATAGCTCTTAACTGTTTGCTGAACTATCGTGACTGCCTGCATTGCTCTTCGGGTACTGAGTCACACACCAAGGTGGTCCTGGAGAAATGACCAACAAGACAAGCAGAACCCATGACCACAGAAGTCTGTCCAGCACCTCAGAGAGGTGGTGTTCTCCTTTATCCCAACATCTTACCTCAGCAGGTCAGAGTTCACAGAGAAGAGACACAATTCCCAGATTTTCAGCTTTTGACTCTGTTTTTCCACACAACTTAACTTTTTTGTCCCTGATTCTGTTTTTGACTCAACACCTAAATATATGATATTTTCATGGAATCTCTAAAATTTTCACTACATTTTAAAAAAGATTTTGTATATATAAAATGTCCAGTTATTGAGTTATCCATACAGCGTTTGAAATTCAGACTTTGTTGAGCTAGAAGACCTCATGCTGGATGCATAAGTAATGATCCCCTGTTATTGTCTATCTTTTCTCCCTCCCACATCTTATATCAATGACTGATGCAGAACAGCTGCTGTGATTCATGTCTTGCCATTATTTACATACTCTACAGCCCTGAGCCAGTTAAAGCTAGGAAACATCACAGACTGAAAATATAGCACTTTTTTCTTCTCATCACACTGAAACACATGGTAAAAACAATGGAAAAAAATAAATAAGAGGATTTTCAAGCCAAAGAGAAAAACATCTCTTTTAACTTCCAAGTAACACTTCTGCTTATCCACAGATGGATGCTGGCAGGATTCAGGAGCTGCTTTTCATCCACAGCAGCTCGTTGCCACTGGCAATTATAACTAAAGAGACACTTCATAGATTTTCTAGTGGCATTTTTCTAGACTGTACTGCTTTAGCCTCGAGGCTAAGAAAAAAATTCTGCTCTTTACCTTAGGAAGTATATACTCATTTTATTTGTTCATACCTCCTTTTTCCACTTCTATTAATCACATAGATCTAATTGCAGGCTGGGGAGGAGAGATGATAAATACAGCACAAAGACATGAGACACTTCAAAGGGTTTTCAGCAATAATCCCTCTTCTAATAGTTGTTGCTGCCTACTACAATGCTCTGATCTCTTTTAACTCTCAGTCACCTCAACAACTCAATGTAAACCAGTGGCTCACCTCACTCTACACTTTTTGCTTTGCTAACCTCTGTGTTAATATGTGCGGCAGAACAAGCGTCACAAGTTTTTATTTTGGTAAGGGAACTCCCCTGAATGTTAGAGTGCCTCTATTTAGCACCTTAGCTTAGTAAATTACAGCTTATTCTCAATATCCAGGGTAGCACTCGTGGTGTAAGAATGACACACGAAAAAACCAGGATTAAATACAGCTAAATCAGTACATATGTAACCTCTACTCCCACTTGCAAAAGAGGCAGTTGAGAGGACAAGAGATCATTCAGTATTTAGATGACATCTGGTTTCATATAAGTATTAAATCTCTAAGATGAAGACAGCACAAAGGACACTTGAATACAGTGTAGCTACTGAACATGACCAAAACAAAAAAATAAGCATAGATTGGACTCAATATAAGACGTTTTATTCCCTGAACATTCTTAGAAAGAATAAAAAACAATTTAATTTGTCTCTTTGTCTATATGTATAGGAACAGTCTTCAGAAAAATCCTAATTTTGTAATGTGGGATCTTGTACTGAAAATCAATAAAATTGTTCCTTACTAAGTCAGTCTTGCTTTAAAGTTTTTCATGTATAAAGTCTCATGTATATTTTTTTGAGCTCCTGGTCTTCATTATTTAAAAATAAAAAGATATGAATATTGAAATTATCCAAAATGTGTATCACATAATGGAAACTAAACAGGAAATTAAGTGGGTGAAAAGAGAAAGCCAAAAATTAACAGGAGACTCATTTGAAGTTTGCAAGTATTCTTTAGAGTTCTTTTAAAATGAGTTAATAAAATTTCTATAACTCCATTTCACTCACGCAAATCAAGGCCTTCTGGAGCACTGAGTACATCCAAAATACGGAATTAGCTGCCAATCCTGTCAAGAAAGAAACGGGATTTTCTAAAGGAAACTACTAAATGCAATTACTGGGTTCAGAGGCCTAGTAAGAATTCCTAAAATGAAAGTTTCTTTCAATGTTTCAATCATAGACAACGTACTTGCAGAAATAACAAATCTATGGTGTGGGAATCATGCTGAAACCAAGAGAGATATGTTTTTTGGTTCTCAATTTGAAAATGTTGTTTAGTTCAAGTTTAAAAAATAGTGGAAGAAATTACAGTTGCTTATTTTTAACAGTGGCAGCACATTCCTTGGGTTTTCATCCACTTTTAGTTCATGTATTTGTTTATTCTGAAATTCATCCCTCTTACAAAGATTCAGCATATTCAATACTACGATGACATAAATGCTTGGAGTCCAGTTGTGTGCAATATTTGTCACTGACCTTCAAGCAAGTACTTCGGTCTTAGAATCATAGAATCATAGAATCAACCAGGTTGGAAAAGACCTCCTAGATCATCAATCCAACCCTTGATCCAACACTGCCGTGGTTACTAGACCATGGCACTAAGTACCACATCCAGTCTCATCTTACAAACCTCCAGGGATGGAGAATCCACCACTTCCCTGGGCAGCTCATTACAGTGTCTGATTACTCTCTTTCTAAAAAATTTCTTCCTAATATTCAAACTAAACCTCCCCTGGCAGGGCTTAAGATTGTGCCCTCTTGTCCTACTGCTGGTTGGCTGACAGAAAAGACCGATGCCCATCTGGGCTACAACCTCCTTTCAGGGAGTTGTAGAGATTGAGGAGGTCTCCCCTGAGCCTCCTCTTCTCCAGGCTGAACAATCCCAGCTCCCTCAGCCTCTCCTCATAGGACTTGTACTCCAGTCCCTTCACCAGCCTTGTTGCTTTTCTCTGGACCTGCTCCAGCACCTCAATATCCTTCCTGAACTGAGGGGCCCAGAACTGGACACAGGACTCCAGATGTGGCCTCACCAGCGCCGAGTACAGTAGAAGAATCACTTCCCTGGTCTTGCTGGCCACACTGTTCCTGATACAGGCCAGGATGCCATTGGCCTTCTTGGCCACCTGGGCACACTGCTGGCTCATGTTCAGCTTCCTGTCCATCCAAACTCCCAGGTCCCTTTCTGCCTGGCTGCTCTCCAGCCACTCTGTCCCCAACCTGTAGTGCTGCAGGGGGTTGTTGGGGCCAAAGTGCAGGACCCGGCACTTGGCCTTGTTGAAGCTCATCCCGTTGGAATCAGACCAACTCTCCAGCTTGTCCAGGTCCCGCTGAAGAGTCCTCCTGCTTTCCAGCAAGCCAACACACCCCTCAGATTTGGTGTCATCTGCAAATTTGCTGATGGCGGACTCAATCCCCTCATCTAAATAATCGATAAAGATATTAAACAGAACTGGGCCCAACACTGATCCCTCAGGGACACCACTAGTGACCTGCTGCCAACTGGATGCAGCACCGTTCTCCATCACTCTGTGGGCCCAGCCCCCCAGCCAATTCTTAGCCTAACACAGAGTACCCCTGTCCAAGCTGTGGGCTGCCAACTTTTTCAGGAGTATGCTGTGAGAGATGGTGTCGAAGACTTTGCTGAAGTCCTGATAGACCACATCCACAGCCTTCCCCTCATCCATGTGTCTTGTGCTAGATCACAACTCCAAGGTGGGTTACATAAGTGCTAAAAATAGAATGCCTAAACCTCACACTGGAAAGGAGTCTCTCTAAGTCTGAAGTGGCTGGATAGACTACGATTCCATTTTGAACTCCTGACTTAGACAAATACACTGTGTTCATAAGTCAAGTGAATTATAGGCTTATTTTTTTTCTGCTTATTGCCGTTGTTAAAGTAATACAACGGGTCAAAAATCTTCCCCTTGATTGTACAGACATGTTGCCGAACAATGCTAAAAGTAGTTCAATTCATAATGCAGTGAAAGCATAATATATGAATCTGGAACCCAGAAGGCCTGTTGAATGAGCTCTAGGGTCTGCTGGCTAAGATTTTTCACTGCATTTTTTTCTTCTCTTGTTGTCCATGAGAAGTTGAAACATATGTAGAGGATTCAGGCCTCAAATTTGTTACAAAAAATGGTCCAACCGGATAGCAGAAATCAGGTTTGCTATCTAACCAAAGGCACATGGTTCATCCACATGCCTCTGACTCAGAGGACCCACTACCCCATGTGAATATTACTTACATTTGTCAAGTTAATGAGCTTGGAGCACAGGGAAGCCTGAGAAAAACCCACCTGTGACAGCCAGCATATTTAGTCTCTTGAAAGACTGTATAATTTAAAAAGTATTGTCATGCCCTCACCAGAGGTTTCTAACGTGGCTAAGTTTCTTTTAATATCTTTGAGCTCAGTCATGAGCTCCTGATAGCCCTTTCCCAATTGTACTACCATACAGTTAACCCATGACAACAGGATACCAAGGTATCTTTTCTCACTTGCTGTTCCTTCTAGACCACACTATCAAATTGAGAACCTTCCCAGCACTTCAGCTGAAGGCAGAAGGAGTTTTTTGGGAACAAAGACAGAGAAAGAACACTAGGGTAATTTTCTGTAACTGGAATGGAAGCAGAGTGCTGGACTTCACTCAAAATTTTTAGCAGTACAGTATACAAGGACTCAGCACCAGGCTCTCATTATTTATATAATAAAAACAAGAAAGGCTGAAAAATCACTGACTCTGTGGGAGCTTTCCCCTTGCTTTGAACCAGACAGCTTGAGATCACAAGTTTTGCTGCTGATGCAAAGTAGCTTGCTCTCCTGTTTCTCACCTCACCTGGTAACTACTAGGTTAAACATAACCCATTAGAGTCACCAGATCCACTAAGTTCCCAGGCTCCTACTGCCTTCCTCTCCACAGTAAGCCCATACCTTACTCACAGTAAGAGTTACTCCACAGTAAGCCCATACCTTTAAACCTATCAGCACGTTTAAATTTATTTTAGGGTTGCAAGGCCCCATACCCCATATAAATATTCCGATACCTGCTGCTATTTCTTTTACTCCATAGTTTCCTGACAAGCACAACCACAAGACTACTTTTAGTTCAGCCTTCACAGCATTTATTTCCCACTTTACACAAATGTCAAGAGGTATGGAACTGAACTTGCCAGTGATTTATAAGTATGAAATTCAAGTTTGTCCTTTAGTTGTAACTCCAATGTGTCTGAGTATTAGAGTTGTATCGGTGTGTATATCCAGTGTACTGAAGCCTTTAATTCCTTGGGTGGTCCAGGAACTCCCCAGGTAGTCATTTGCCCAGAATAGGTAACAGTCTGGTCTGAGACAATAGATCAATCTAAAAATAGGTGACTGATTAAAATCTGCACTATGTTCACAAATGTTTGACTGACTGATAGAGAAGCTCTCCAGGCAAAAATGTTGGGCAAATCAAGACATTACCCAGTTGGTCCTATTGTGTTAGTCCAAGTCTTACACTTTGTACTGACAAACATCTTGATTGTAGTGTCACAAAGGTTCACAGCCAACTCCTGCTCCATAATTTATGAAATAATTCATAGTTAATTATAAACAGTCAATAGAAACACAAGAGTCTTTTGCGTGTAGTTATGATATTTAGGAGATGTTTTTATGTAGTTTAGATAATTTATAGGCTGGTAATGCAGGACCATGACCATCTGGATTATGAGAAAAGAGCAGAACAGTGATCTGTTGAAACTCACCTTATCAAGATGAAGACATCACTGCAAGGACACTTGTAACTGAGACTCCTTTTGACACCAAAAAATGACCAACCATTTTGTCCAAGAACAATGATTTGCTGTGCAATTATTACATTTTGGTAGGAGCTTTGCTTTACCAGGATCAGTCCTACTAATCTTAAGGTGTCTGCAAGTGTTTGGGAACTGGTCTAGTTTTGTCACCCCCAACTTCCTTTGTCAGAAGAAATTCTGATCCTATGCTTAATAGGTTAAATTGCCTATTTTGGGATTAAAAAAAAAACTTTTTGATGTCCAGTTTCAGCATAGCAGCCCATCAGAGGCCTTGGGGATCCTTAATTATATAAGAACATTGCTTTAAATGGCCAGAGACCAAGTCTTGTGGCAAAAACTGATTTGTTCAATCCTTTGAGTTCAGTTCCACTTGCCAATACCTGCTATCAGTTTCCATTAAAAATTGATGCACTTGTCATATCTTTTTTTTTGTCAGCAAAAATATTTTAAAGTGACTTCATCTGGTTTCCTAAAGTCTACAAGTAAACTATTTCTGCCATCTCTTTGCTTAAGCAAAATTACACAGGTCAAGGACCAGACTCTAGACTCTTACATATCTTCCTCTTACATGTAATGGCCATTGTGAAAAATGTACAACCATGGTATTACTAGTGTTCAACAAACAGATCCTGGATTTCATCAGAATGATGAAATAAATCCACAATAAAAAAAGCAACAATCAGGAAGCAGAATTTGGGTAAAGATAAGAAAGCGTCATGTATCCTGTTGCATAATTTCAGAACACAAAGACATCTCTGGAAACCAGAGCACATTGCAGGACATTGTTATATATCCTTCAGTTCTATACAGAACAACAAAAATGCAAAATCTGGAAAACTGCAAGCACCATGTTCTGTTCTTTGCCCTGCCTACACAAATCTATTCTCCACATTTTGCATGATCTTACTTCCGTGATCAGTATAGAGATTTTTATAACCATAAAGATTTATAGTACAGTAGAACATATTCCTAGGAAAACTATTTTAAAGTGTATTGAGAAGAATTATGTGAGCTGGACAAGCCAACAAGAAATGTACCTGAATTTTCTTTAGGTTTTGGAAAGTTGGCAGTGTTCAGCATCCCAATTCAATTTTAGCTACAGAAAAGGCCTTTAAGGTATATTTCAGTCTAAAAATAAAAGTATTTGTTGAAGTGAAAGTGTTCTAAAAAGTGCTACAAAATAAGTTGAAAGGCCTCAGAATTAATCTAAAGAAAGAAACCTGCATCTCGTCTTTCTGTTCTTCTTACATGCATCACAGAGTCCAGAGAGAATAAACAATCGAAATGACACTTTATAAGTAGTAAAGGCAGTGGAAACAGGCTTTAAGTGATGGAGATTCTTTGTTTTGTTTCTGGAAAAAATTAGAAATTACAAACCTCCAGAACTGTGGCATGGAAAACTGGTGTCTGTAGTAACCTTTTGAGAATTTTGGCTTTAAACAAAACATTTCCAGTACTTGATGAGTTCACCACAAGATAGGTCTAATTCAGTCCTGATGTAAATCAACTGAAGTCTATGGAATATTTCATTTGTAACTTTTTTGTTCTCTGTTTTTTTCTTATTTTGTCCATATTTATCTTTTTTCCTCTATTCTATTCACCCAGCCTGAGTTATCTCTCTAGATACAGCTCTACACAGCATTCACAGTGCTGCAAGAGCTATACTTTCTCACCCTTTCCAAATGTGATTCTCCTTTCCCTTTGAGATCCAGTTCTCTCTCTTAATGGGACTTATTTCTAGATCAGAATTTCATGATATCTCACTTTCAAACATTCTGACAAGTCCAAGAAAGAAGGATGTTTTAGAAAGACAAGACATTTCAAGGTATCAGATAAACTTTGACTAGCAGCCAAGAAAATGGTTCTACTACCAGTTGTGGTCATTTGCATGGTTGTGTTATCATTAAGGCTGGAGCTGTAGAAAAGGAGGTTGATGTTCAAAGTAGTCTGTGTCTGAATAGTTTGTGGTTATGTCTGTTCTAGTAACTGGCAAAACACAATATGAACCTGTAAATTCTCTGATTTAATGACAAAGTAGAATGAATGAGATCTAAAGAGTCCCGTAACTAAGCGGATGTAAGGTCTTGCTATCTCAGACTAAAGTGCAATAGTTCTGTAGTGGTATAAGTTTGTAAATACTAAAAATTCTGATATATTGAAAATCAATTATCATGCTTCCCTTCTGCCTGCTACAGCAAACGTGTCAAATTCCTTTGATGTTTCCTCATGTTATAATGACTTTTGCCCTCTGATTGATAGACCTATTCATCACTACCCTTTCTTGCCACACTGAATGTGCACACACTGTGCCAAATTTATTTCCCTCAGCTAATGGTGCTCCCCACTTGCATCCTACTGGGAATGAGGGGGAACGACAAGTTGATCAGTCTAAAAATCTTGTTGAGCATGTGACATTCAGAATAAAGGCCCGGGTATGACTAAATGTATTCATGATTTCAATGGCTGAAGCTTAAATGCCTCAGTAGCTCACACAGAACGAACTGAAAAATGAAAAGAAGCTTGTATATCAAAGAAAACACTTAAAAATACTATAAAGGCTTGAAAAATTCTCACCTTCAGGGGATTCTCAACCATAAACAGTCAAGAAGGTAGGTAAGTCACAGGCATCCTGGAGAACAATTTCAAGTGTCAGATCAGCACCATCATTGAATTCTAAAATAGTTCAAGTGTCCTAGCTTAAAAGGAAATCATATTAATGGTGCAGGCCTGGAAAGGAAACATCATGTAAGTGGGGATAAAAAAGTGAGTAGGATGAGATATATGACACATTTCAGCAGCTTCTGCTTAAACCCTAGTTTTCATGACTGTCATAGTTTAATGGTAGAAGTAAACAGTATCTGTCTACTCGCGGTATCTCATAGAATGGAAACTAACTTGTGCTAGAAAGTGGAAAAGTAACTAAAGATGTTTGATAAGAAATAGCAATAATTTGGACAGTGTAGTCTTTCACAGGAAATCTGTCATCATGTCAAGGTTTTTAGCATCTGGACTTTTTAAAACAAATCTAAGAAGTTTATGCCTTAGATTTGTATACTGCTTAGGTTTAGATATCTACATCAGGGCTAAAGACAGGTATCTTTTTCAAATGCTTCTGAAATTAAAAAACCTTAAATTTGCTTCTCCTCCTCAAAAATAACATAGTCAGGGCATTCAGCTCGGTGGAGAGAAGAAGGAAGATCTTCTGAGTTCGTTCAATATGAAGTTTGATTCTGATATCACAGTTACATTTATGACAATATTATTTTCATTAGATTGTAACTGCACCCCCTTTCCTGCTCCCCTACCTCCAGGAGGGGGAGGTGTCTTTTATTGGTGTATGGTGATCCAGTTTCTACAGGAGGGACTGGGAAAAGCCTCATGTGCATTTTCTCATCATCTGATAGTGGGGCTGCTTTTGTGCTCTTGGAGTACAGGATTCAAATTCCTTTTTTTTAATGTCACAATATCTTGTACATATGATCAATGCAGCTAAGGCCTTTCTGGATTACTTTTATAGATCTAGATGCATAGTTTTACATTTAATGTTCTTGGGTACCTAAGCGTTGTGTGGAATAGATTTCTTTCTCTGTAACTAACATCTGTGGTATGTTTGAAGTAACTTCAGACTTTTACTACTTGATTCCATAGCAAACGTATTACTGAGTCATTAAACTAAAAGATTGTAAAAAAAGCATGATAGCATATAATAAATTAATTAAAATATTTATTTTTCCTTTTTTTGAGCCATATAGGTTTGCAACTAACATCATAAAAATTATAAAAGTAAATTAAGTTAATGAAAATAAGTAATAAATCTTCTGCAGATGTCAATGCTTTTGTGGAAAAAAAAAGAAGAAGTGTTTGTAAAGGAAAAAGCAATTTTGTAGGAATCAAAAGTTATTAGTCAAATGACTTAGCAGATATTTTTACTTTAAAGAAGGACTTCCTAAGGGCTGCAAACTGATACGTTTGAAAGTGGATGTTGATGAACTAGGAAATCAAACACTATTAAATTAGACCATCACACAGAGTATATGTGTGTATTTAAATATTTACTTAGCATTTAACAGACCCTCATAATCCTCTCTGCTTAAATTATGATACTTGGCAAATGAGTCATATGAACCAAACAAGTCAACAAAACCCTCCCCTGTTTAATCAGTTTCTTTTTATGCCAAATCTATTTCCCAACTTTTCAAGCACTGCCCTACTATACAAGATACCAATAATCTCTAACAAACTCTATGGTAATTTTTGCTGATCAAAGTTATGTATAATTTATAGTCTGAAAGTGCTCTGCGTTGCTGAGTAAGATCTGTTACTATAACACAAATACTGTCTCCAAGACAGTGAAT